CTTTCCTTTGTTGTTTCATAGTACAATTTAGAATTTTTCCTTTGCTCAAAAACAGAGGAGGGCATATAAAAACTAGAGTTTTGAGAATATGAAAAATAATGATATACCACTTTATTTCAAATAACTGAATATGCAATAGGCAGATCAATGTGTTTTCACATTTCATTATAGAGTAATACCTTTTTCCTTTAGGGAAGCTGGAACCTTCACTTCTTTTCCCTTAATAGGCTCTGGAAAGAAACATTGAACATTTATTTGAAACCAGGATCAAAAGATGTAAGAAGACACATACAATGGAGTCAATGAGCTATTGGTAAGGTGAACCTGGATGGAAATGATACGATGTTTTCTTTCAAAAATAATTTTAATCATTGACAAAGAAACAACAGTATAGAGTACAACAAGCTGTTCTCTAATCATTTCTATTTAAAATAAATGTAAATTGTTGAATGAGGTACAATCTATTTGTTCATTTAAGGGAACGTGTATTTGGATGAATAGGAACTTGCTTTATCTGTAATTTTAAAAAAACACATGACTTCAGCATCTAGAAGTCTTCCAAAACTGTTATAATCAGCACTAACTTAGTTTATGTCTTTCTGGCTATGTTTTTTCAAAAAAATAAACAATCAAATGGAAAACTCTGCATATATCATGTAAATGTGGTGTTTTAGTCATCAGACTCAAGTCAAACAAATTTCAAGAATAAGATTTAAAATAAATTTTGAGACAGTTTCATCTGTGAACTCCCAATGTCTTAAACATGTGGTCCTTAGTTAAAGCAAATCAAGTAAAACCTCATTTATCCTACCAGGTTCAAATACAAAATGATTCTAATCATATCATGCCTTCCAGACATATATATGGGTCTGGAAGACATGATAAATTTATCATATTTATGATAAATTTGATAAAATATATGATGAAATATAAAATATATTTTAACCTATTAAAAATAAAAGCTAAAATCAGTTTTCTGCCTTTTCTGCAACATTAAATCTCAGTATCTATTTTACTGACAAAAATGATTAATAATGCAGTGAGAAAGGAAGCGAAGAAAGAAATCTATCCTTCCAGCCCTTTTTTCTATTCTCATCTGAGGTTTGGGGTGGAAGGCAAAAAATACGGTGGTGGTGCTTGTGAATGGACATGCCACTCCAAGCAATCACTTAGAATCCACTGAGTTCGGGTGGATTTGGATTGTGTCAAGAATGCATTCTGGTGTTCCACTGAAAATGCTGTGTCCCTCAGAGCAAGATTTTCTTGATAGATAAACTAGAGCCTTAAATATCCATAGGCTTGTAGACTTTTTAAAAGTGGCTTTGGTGGCAAAGGAGTGTCCCTATTGCTATTTATTGTGTTAAGAATAAATAAGATCAATTTTTTCTGTGTATTTCAGCATGTGAAGATGAAATCAAGAACTATGAATTGAATAGACTCATGGAGAAGCTTCATTAACTTTTTTTTTTTTTCAGGCTGACGGGGGTAATTTACTGCTTTGCATTTGGCTAAACCAAAAGAATTAATGTATCGTGAAATGAGAAGTGGTGGTGGGGACAGATTCCTGGTGGGGTGGGAGAGCACAACACCTGGAACTTCACATTTCAAGATTCAGCATGTTGATTTAAATGGGTGTCTGTACATGACTGTGTGAGATTAAAGTAGTTATAAAGAACAAGACCTAAAGAGAGGGCCTGTAGACTGCTTTGATTTTGGTGGAGTAAGAAGGAAGGGGTGGAAAAACAGATATACTTTTATACGGTATTTGAAGGTCATAAACCCATCACCTTAAATTTGAAGAAAGTCCTCAGAAAATAGAAATAAATTTATTTCCTAGTTTGCTAGTAGGAAGATACCTTTGCTCCCAGGCTGGGTCATCTCCTGCACCAACTTTCCTGCATCTCATTTCTTCTCAGTGTCATTTTGACTTCAAGGGGTTTTGACCTGATTTAAGAAGTCCACAGACTGGTCTGAGCATCCCTAACTACCCAGGGATACCAAATATGACCAAAAATGTGGAGACAGTGTTATATGGGAATTCTGCACTTCTGTATTAGTAAGGATTGAAACATCGTTGATTTAGGTCAGCTATTAAGGCATTTTTCAATGCATCTATCTTGTTTGTCAGGAGCAAAGCATTGGAGAACACATTTTTTGTGTGTGTTGTTTTTACAAATATGGTAGTTTCTTTGTATTTGACCAAGAGCCTACAGGAAGGCTTATGAATCTTGATTATCAGGATCTAGAATATGTTTAAAGGTGCTGGGATATTTCTTGGAACTCTCAAAATAATCTGGTAGGAGGTTGTAATGGAGAAAATGTTTACAAAGAAAGGCAGATCATTTCAGGTTTTACACCACTCCCAGACACAAAGGCAATAATGAACTAGGGTGAGTGTTCGTGATGAATAAATCATTGGGGAATCGGTTTCAAAGTCATCAGACAACTTACCCTATTCTTAGCTCTAGCTTTTGTTTGATGAGTGGGAATGGCCAAGAAAAAGTACGGTGAAAACAAAGAAAAGTTGGGGGAATCATCAGGCGCATGGTCCTGAGCATCAGAATATGAAAGAAGATAAGCTCTGCTCTGAATTCTCTGGCATTAGATCCAAACATATGCAAGCCTGAGTCACAAAGCTAGTCAATAATTCTAATGCCCATCATATTACGCCGATGCCAGAGGAACCTAAGGGTGCCACTATTGCATTCTCAATAGAAGAGACATAACCTTGTTGCCTGGTTATGATTTGGTTTGCAGTTTCTTGGACCATGGGTGAATCTTGCAACCTCAGATAAGTCAGACTAATAAGAAGCAAGTAGGGAGAGGATAGTGGTGGATGCCAGAAGGAATATAACCAATAATAGGGCTAACTAATAGGGTTGTCTGGTTTCTGGATGGTCAGGGCTGCATAAGCAGGGATCTGCCCTCTTGAGTGTGTACAGAGGGCTTACATGAGTCCACTCGCCCAGGAAAGTCAGTAGCTGAACCAGCAACAAAAGGCAACAAGATGTGTCTTTCTCTTGTTCTTTTTCTTTGAAATAATCATCCCTAGCCCTCTCTATACCTCCTTAAATAAAGACACAAGCCTAATGATGTTTCTTTAAATGTCTAATTTACTCATGGTTATCACATCCCCAGTAAACATAGCCCCAAAGGATTTCCGTGTAATAATTCTGATTTTCGAAATGTAGCATTGCTTCAGTATGGGTTCTAATATATACATGCAGGTGGAGTCTATAAGAGACCAGCAAAGGTAGGCAATCTTTAAGTTGCTCCAGTGAAATAAGAGGCTATGTAGCAAGTGGAATTGCTGCATTCTGACTCCACCACAGTTCAGCAGCAAGCATCAATAATCCTCTCCAGAAACAATAACACTGCAGAGGTTAAAGTCACTGAAATTTTATAGGTAATACTACAATTTTTTCTTTGATTTTTTTATATAATGAAAATTATATTCAGAAAATAAAGGAAAGGTGACAATATAATTCTTCTAAAATTGTACCCAACTTGTATATAACAAAGATATTTGAGGGCATTAACACAGCTTGAATAAAAAAAGAGGTTCATTTTAAATAGTTCCAAATCAATAATGATATGTAGTAGACCTTTATATACATGATTTTCTAGTGACCGTGGAGACATCTTGCAAATAGTAGAGAATTTAATTTTGAGGAAAAAGTGTTCCCCAGGAAATTGTCTGCAATTGTACATTAATAACAACAACAACAACAATAACAGAAATTACAGGAGCCTACTTAGTAAAGTGGTCAGTGTGGATATAAATTCTCCCAGATAGGGACTTCCCTGATGGTGCAGTGGTTAAGAATCTGTCTGCCAGTGCAGGGGACATGGGTTTGATCCCTGGTCTGGGAAGTTCCCACATGCCACAGAGCAACTAAGCCTGTGCTCCACAACTACGGAGCCTGTGTTCTAGAGCCCGCAAGCCACAACTACTGAGCCCATGTGCCAATAAATAAATAAATTCTCCCAGATAATGTTTTCTGGGACAGATGTTTACAAGTACCATTTCCAATTAGTTTAGGCTTCAGCACAAGTGAAGTCTTTAAGTAGTAGTTTAAATTTTTGATAATCATCATTGCCTGAAAGGTCATTTTAGAGGTAAGACCCAAATTTCTGTTGAGTTCTTTTCATAGTGGACAATAATATATGGTCCAAGTATTCCTGTGAAATAAGTGCTCACCAAAATAAGTATATTTCATACTGCATTGAAAGGAGGGAAGGTTTAGATTTTGCATGTATATATGGATTTTCCTGGTAGTGTGTTTCAATAACACCTTTAGTTCTCACACAAACAAGGACAATGTTTTTGTTAATTGTCAGATAAAATGAGAATGGAGGTGAGAAGGAGTCTTTCTCAAAGAACAAGTAATCACTGGTGAAAAATGGACTAAGCTCCTCTGTGGGAATTAAGGAAAGTCACCCCAATAGTAAAAGGACTAGGACTATCTTTCCACATCGCATATCCAGTGTGTCTATAGATTTTCTAACTTATGTAATGAGCTCTGCACTCAAAGCAAAGGTGCTTTGAAGAATACAAATACAGGGCTTCCCTGGTGGTGCAGTGGTTGGGAGTCTGCCTGCCAATGCAGGGGACACGGGTTCGTGCCCTGGTCCGGGAGGATCCCACATGCTGCGGAGCGGCTGGTCCCGTGAGCCATGGCCGTTGAGCCTGCGCGTCCAGAGCCTGTGCTCCACAGCGGGAGAGGCCACAACAGTGAGAGGCCCGCGTACCACAAAAACAAACAAACAAATACAAGGGCCCTATTTTAAGGAGCAAGCAGTATCTGTGTTAAAATGAAATAAATGGGTGTTAAAATCCAACAGACTTGACTTTGATTCTTGCCTTTGCCTCTTACCCATAGTGTGACACTGAGTAATTTAAATTACATGTACCTCAGCTTCCTCCTTTACTGAAATGGTGATGTCAAGCACAACTTGCAGAAACAAAATATGTAAAGTAGAGTGCAATGTGTCTGACAAAGAGCAGATGCCCTGCTTCTGTGCTTCTCCCAAACAATCCTCACACCTTTGTCTGGCTAACTCCTCATGCATCATACTTGAATTTAATATAACTCTTCAGGAAAGCCTTCTCTGATTCCCCAGACTTGATTAGGAAGTCGATAGAGATGGCTTGATGCTTTATGTGGATATTATTCTTAGAAAGAGGCCTGGGATTTGCATGGTACTTAAATAAGAATGTCATGCTCTTTCATAGCAATAAGGAAACTGATAAGACGAAAGCAGACAGAGCATGACTAGGAGTCTTTGAAGACAGCAGAATTCAGAACTCCAATTCCCAAGTCTTCCTCTCTATTCCTAGCTTTGCCATCTTTGTTTTGCCAATGATTAGCAAGTGTTTGGAAAGATTATGCACTAAATATATAGTTAATGAAGGACAGAAAGGAGAGAGAACCAGAGGGCATGGAAGCAAACCCTTCCTATACTCTTTATTTTCCTTCTAATCTTTTTTTATCCCTTCCATTCTTTTTAAAAAATGATTTTTCTCTTTTTTTTTCTTTCAGAAATTATAATCAGAGCACTTCAGGTCACAGTGAACTGAAGGAAAGTATTTAACAGACAGTTAAATAAATAAAAGTTTTCAAATATATGAGGGTCCTGTGCAATTCTGACCCACAAACCTGCAAAGAAGATGACTAATGTACTGTGGACACACTCAGATATTTTTGCTAATAAATTTCTTGTGTTATGTTAACTTGACTCTATTACCTTTATCCTTCAGAACTGAAGACGTCTTTCCAGATTTTTCTTTTCGAATTTCTGCAAGAAGAATCATAGGGAGGAAAGGTTACAAGGAATAATGAAGAAAAAATGGCAAGTTCTTTATGTGTTATATTTACTGAGGCTTAAAGAACCAGAGTGGCTCTGCTTTGGTATTCAAGATACAGGTGTCTACTGGGATAAATTGCTTGTAACGTATTGAACTAAATATATGGAAGATAGAAAATAAGCCCTGAAATTATTACAAGGGGCAGACTATGGTAGATACAAGAATGTACAAATAAAATACTCTGGGCTTTGGAAAAAGAAGGTATGATAAGATTTATAGCTAACGTTGTCTACTTACTATGTGTCACAGGGAATGTTCTCTACTGTTTAGTCATTCAACGTTCACAATAACCCTATACAGTTGGTAGGTCTTGTTATTATTGCTAATTTTCACATAAAGGGATTAAATAACTTTCCCAAGGTCATGTAGCCCTTAAACGGGAAATCTGGGATTTGAGCTAATGTCTCTCTGAACTCAAACACAAAGGTATTGGCTCTGGTAGCTCAATGATGGAATCAGGAAAGGCTTTGGCAGGTGGTACTGAAGAAGAGCTTGAAAGCTGGAAAGGAATTAGACCAACAGAAATGAAGCTGAAAAGACATTTTAGGACAGAAGAGAGAATGGGGAGGCATGGGCTGGACAGTCTGTCAGTTTGGGTGTGTGAGTCACTTGTAACCAAAAGAATACAGTAGAAGTGTTGCTGCGTGACTTCCTAGGCTAAATCAGGAAAAACCATGCAGTTTCTATCTGCTTCTCTAGCTCTGGGGGAAGCCGGCTGCCATGTAAGTACTCCAACTGACACCGCCAGGTTGGCAAGACCACATATAGGCAATCCAGTCAGCAGCCACAGCTGAGCTCCCAGCCAACAGCTAGCATCAACTGCCAGCCATCTAAGTGAGCCATCTTGGACATCCAGAGTCAGTTACTTGAGATGTCTGCAGCCCAAGCCTACATCTGATTGTAATCACATGAAATATGAAATAGACAAAATAAAAAACTGAAATAATGGACAATCTTGTAACAAAAGAAATCAGCACTGGAGTTCCTCCTCAGCACATAAATATTTTGAACCCCAAAAACAATGTGTTTAAAGGAAAGGGTATTGATTAATAATATCTTTGATCTAGCTATTAGTTATTACTCATTGCACTGAATGATCAAATTCAATATCAATTTATTATTAGTGACATTAGGATATTAAAAAAATATTTCTGTTGAAGTGTTTTGGCTTGATGTCAATGTCAAGTGTAGCTAGATTATAAAAAAGAAACTGAAATTGGAAGGTGTAAAAGATCCTAACAGAATCATCAGGCAGCCCAGATTTCCTGGCTGTGTGAAGAATCAAACTCAAAATACTTAACCTTTCTTTCCCAGCTAGCTCTACTGAAGTGTTCAAAAGTATCACTTCAAAAACTGTGGTTCTTTCCTCTTTTTGAAGATATATAATTTGCCTGCTGATTTGAGATACTGTTTCATGAGCATAATGAATAAGATCAAAGTATCAATATTTTTTGGATTTTTCTTCTGATGGAAAGAGTAGTTTTAAAGAACCATATGGAGAGCTCTATCCGTAAGTTCAATGATAGATAATTCCTCAGATCATGACTATTTATGTACATCACACAGCACCAAAAATGTCAAAATTGTTTCATAACATCTCTGTTGCATCCTAAAGTGATACTACCTTGTCTAGAGTGGTTCAATTGTGATTAGTTGCATGATTTTTAAATTTTAATATGTGAATGCCCTACATGCATCTGTCATTGTTTTATGTTCATTTGGACATAATTTTGACAATCAGGGATATTTTAGAAAAGGTATTTTATAGCATTTTTGTATCATTTTCAAACTCCAAAATATGTTTCATAAATAAATACAGAGAAAAGAATTTTCAAGTAGTCTAAATGGTTTAGCATTCTATGTTTATAATCCCCATGAGAAAAAATAAAATATTTTGATGTTTTATGCAATACTAACTTTGAATGCTCCTGAAAAGATGTTGTCAGGGTTTAATTTTACTCAGAACATTGTCAATTAACTTTGTAATTAAGTATGACTTGGTCGGGACGCCATTTTTAACATCCTTTTTGCCTTAGTGATGCATTTAATCATTTCCTGGTCTATAGACTAAATAACTTGGCACACATATTTTTAACATTTTAAAATATTTTTCTCTAAAAATCTGTTTAAAAATTCTCAATTTAAAACATCTCCAATTCAATTATATTTTTATGTTGGTGTCTTTTTTTAAAAAACTTGGAACTTCATTGTATTTCTTAGTCTTTTTTTTTTAATTAAAAAAAAAGAATATAATTTTGCAACCTGTCTTATCCTCTCTCTCTAACAGGACATTCTAATTAAAAAGTACAATATAAAATTTCTTTGAATGACATCTTAATAGTGTTGTTAGTACTTGAAGACTATAGCAAGGTATTTCTCAAGAAACTATAAATAAGGGAATTCAGAATGTTCTCTGAAAGTTAAGCTAATAATCAATACAGAATGTGGAGAGTTGTGGAGTTCTGAAAGCACCAATTATATAATACTATATAACACTTTGTATATGCATCTCTGAGAAGCTTCCTTCAATTACTCAAGCACTGTGTTGTTCTAGGCAAGCTGGGCTGTGTTAACATGTTAAAACTGTGACATGGAGCATGGCATAGGAATTCAAAACAACTAACAGATATAGAACTTGTCTAATGTGTATCTTGCAATCACCACGGATATGGAAGTCTTGTCCAATGGACTAAGTATTCTAGTCCTTTTGACAAACTCTTTCCTATAGTAATATAGGTCTTCAAATTACCTTAGCCGAGGTACTTCCTGAAATCATCTAAGTACTCTTTTCCTTTGACTGAATTCTGATAAAACTTTATAATTATGATGCTTTTACGCTGTGTAGCTTGGCTGCAAGAAGAGAATACTTTTCAGAATTCTGGACTGTACCTCAGTGGGGTACATTTTACTTTATCTGTAATCGGCTCTTTTAGAAAGATCAGCAATATGCAATTATTTAAAAAATAAAATAAGCACTCCTTTATATATTTGGGAGCTGAGATAAACTAGGACACCCTAGGCATATAATTTGCTTTCTAAGCCCTAAAGAATTTGTTTTTCAAAGAAAACTTTATTAGTTATGAATTTTTCTCATGTAATCATGTTCAACTTAAGATATCAAAGTTCCCATGTTTTCTTCAAGAAAAAAATCTTTTTAACAGGACTGTAATTTCGTTGAGGACAGGCAAAGCTAGGTCGTGGTCATTCCTGTATTCACATATAATGATGAAGTGTTGTTTTGTATGGTTAGACACTTTTATATAAAATCTTGCTATGAATGGGAGGTTTGTTTCACTCTGATATTCATATGTTAAAGACTAATACCCAATGTGATGGTATTTGGAAGTGGGGCCTTTAGGAGGTGATTATGTCATGAGGGTGGAGCTTCATGAATGGGATTAGTGCCCTTATAAGAAGAAACATGAGAAAGATGATCTCTCTTTCTCTCTCCCTCCCTCTCTGCACCATAGCAGGATATAGTAAGCAGACATCTGTTTGCAAACCAGGAAGAGCCCCCTCATCAGGAACCAAATTGGCTGGCACCTGATCTTGGACATCCTAGCCTCTAGAAATGTGAGAAATACATTTCTGTTATTTAAACCACCTAGTCTATAATATTTTGTTATAGCAGCCAGAGTTGACTGAGACAGATCTCTAACTCCTCACCCATTCCGGGAGGTAGACATGATCTAGATTTTGTAGATATGATAATAGGATCTAAGAGAGGTAAATAACTTGCCTAATGTCATGACTACTAAATAGCAGTGGGAAATTTGAACCTGGACCATCAAAATTAAAGTTAGAGCTAAACTACTACAGTAAGTGCTGGGAGCACAATGGATTATAAAGTTGATAGCACCACAGATGACTTCTAGAAGTGAAGAGTGAGCATATTTGCGTCACCACTTCACAGCAATGTTCTTCATAACTGCCAGTCTGCCATAGTTTTCCAAATTCTTTTCCAGAAGCAGGGACCATGTCATCTGGCACATACTAGGAAGTCAGTAACTATTCATTGAATAAATTAATAAATTTGCCAAATTTGTGCTGATCACATTTTATCAGAAAACTTAACTATTAAATCTTTACACAAAAAGGCTTCCCTGGTGGCGCAGTGGTTGGGGGTCCGCCTGCCGGTGCAAGGGACGCGAGTTCTTGCCCCGGTCTAGGAGGATCCCACATGCCGCGGAGCGGCGGGGCCCGTGGGCCATGGCCGCTGAGCCTGCGCGTCCGGGGCCTGTGCTCCACAGCGGGAGAGGCCACAGCAGTGAGAGGCCCGCGTACCGCAAAAAAAA